CTGTTCAAGGATGTCTAAACACCAGCTGGTTTCGGGAGACTGTTGGGCTGCTCACCTCTCCCAGGAGGCTTCTCCTTTCTGCCCTTCCACCTCTCTCAGAGAAAGGAAGTGAAATTTCCTTACCCATGTTACCTTTTCCTTCTTCCTTAGGAGCCTATGGAAATATATCCCATATCACCGACCCACATGAGCATAAGTTTTCCCATCTTAAACAAGTATTAAGAGTTGAGTTGGCCAAGATTAATTCATAAGTGTTGGCCTTGTATGTGACAATACCGCACTACAAGAAAATTGTGGTATTAAGTAGCAAAGAGGAACCCGTGAAATGAACCAGTTCTCCAGATGTGAGGAGTATGAGAGGGTAGAACTCGGTGTACTCTATTGCCTCAACCTGCTCTATTGACATTCCACTGGGATGTAGCCACACCTATTTTGAGGTGAAGTGCCGTTCAGGGACAGTTGCAGAGATGAATAGCTGTGACAATAACTACAGGGATCACACAGCTGAGAAAAATCACTGCCTTACTCTACAGAAACATCTGCCAACCTTGGCCTGGATTCACCAAGTCATGTGGAAAAATATTTGCAAGACAACCACAACCACAATGCCTCTGCAGGGAGCAGCTCATTTCCTTTCTCTCATCTTCCTGTGTGCACTTTTTGTTTGTTTGTGCGCTTGTTTGGAGGCCATGCCCAGCAGTGGGGAGGATGGAACCAGGGTCCCCAGCATGCAAAGCAAGCACTCAGTCCAGGACAATTTTTATGAATCTTTATGAACTGTAAGAAACTTTCTGAACTCAGACAGTTATTATGGATGTCTGCCTCTCCCACTGGTCTGTAAGCTCCCAGAGAACAGTAAAGAGTGCTGTTTGCCATCTTACTGGGGCAGCGGCCCAGCTGAGGGTCTGGCACATTCATACCAAGCACTCCCTCAACATCTGTTGGTTGGGTACCTGAATAAATATACTCTGTAAGTCATCTTCCACTAAGGGGAAAACGACTTGTTTTGGGATATGATATAAAGAGGGAAACAACATTTCAATAAGCACATAGCCAAAATGGGACACTTCTACTACTCTAAGAAGGGTACAAGCCTCAAAAACATTAATGCTGGATGGAAGAGATAGCAGTGGTTGGAGTGATAGCACAGCGGTAAGGCGTTTGCCTTGCGCGCAGCCAGCCCGGCTGAGCTGGGTTTGATTCCTCCGCCCCTCTCAGAGAGCCCGGGAAGCTACCGAGAGTATCTCACCAGCACAGCAAAGCCTGTCAAGCTACCCGTGACGTATTCAATATGCCAAATACAGTAACAACAAGTATCAAAATGGAGACGTTACTGGGCCCGCTCGAGCAAATCGATGAACAACAGGAGGACAGTGTTTGTTTTTGTTTTGGAAGAGATAGCGCACATATGGTCCCCAGAACCCTGCCAGCAGGGATCCCTGAGCACAACTGGATATGGATTAAAAATAAAACTGCACAGCCCTTGGGAGGACATGTCCTCATGCAGTGTCCTTTGAGAAGAACAGACATCAGCTCTAATGATCACAAGTGGCAGAGGCAGCATGTGGCTGTGGCAACAGTAGGCATGTCACAGAAAGTGGGGGCAGACCCATCCCTACTAAGGGTGCTCACCCACATGCACATGGGCTTGGTGGCTCCCAGCTCTGACCAGCCCTCCCTCCACTCTCTATTGGGTCTGCTCCTCATCTGTGATGGCACTCCTCTGCAGCTCAGCTTTTATTAGTGTTTGGGGAGATACTTTCTTGAAGACAATAATACTTTTTTTTTGGCTTTTCGGGTCACACCCGGTGATGCACAGGGGTTACTCCTGAATCTTCACTCAGGAATTACTCCTGGTGGTGTTGGGGGACCATATGGGATGCTGGGAAACGAACCCGGGTCAGATAGGTGCAAGGCAAACGCCCTACCCACTGTATTATAGCTCCAGCCCTGAAAATAATACTTTTTAAAGGCAAAGTTAGATGACATAGACCTGGTGGGTATGCTAGCTTTTTTTAAAGATCTTACTTTGAAAGAAAATATCACAAAGCCTGCAAAGATCATTGTAACCATAAGTATGTATATTCGACAAACTCAATACACCCACTTAGAAAAACAAAAATTTTTTTTTATTGCTTTTTGGGTCACACCTGGCGATGTACAGGGGTTACTACTGGCTCTGCACTCAGGAGTTACTCCTGGTAGTGCTCAGGGGACCATATGGGACGTTGGGAGTCGAACCCGGGTCGGCCGCGTGCAAGGCAAATGCCCTACCCGTTGTGCTATCTCCCCAGCCCCAGGAAAACAAGAATTTTTATCTGGAAATAAGACATATTTTGGTCTCCTTTCCCATCATCCAATCTAAAAGAAATACAACTATTGAACAGTAAATATTGAAACAATACTCTGATTTTTAAAAAGTTGTTAAAACAACTTTTGAGTTTAATAATATTGAATAATAAATCAGCACCAGTAAAACAGCTGGTGTTCTTTCTTAATTCTTAAGTTTGACATGCACATTTTTAATTTACAATGCTGAGAAGATATCAAATACTGGAGTGCGGTAATGAAATCACAAATAACAGGATCTGAGCTTCATTATAACCTGCTAATTAACGGAGCAACACACAAAACAAGAAATCAGCAAGAACAGTGTTCCAAGCAAGTTGGGGCCTGTTGAAACAGCCCTAAATGCCTAAAACATCAGAGAAAGAAAAAGTCCTGCATTAAACTGTTTCCCCTGGACACGACTTGCTTTCCAGAAACAAAACAACAAACCACAAAACCAGCTAACATGGTCCCCGTATTTACCTTCCCTGTATTCATGGCAACACAAGAAGATTGAAACATAAGAAGCATAACATGGAGGAGGAGAAGTGGGCTGAGTGATTCCCACTCTTCATTCACACATATTAGGTGATATGTGAGCAGGTCTTTCTACCAAGAGGGCCCGTATAATTTTGAGGAAAGTGAGGCCTTTGTTGTTCAATGAATCAAACAAAAACTTGCTTTATTTGGTGGGGCCAGCAAGATAGAGATTAAGGCATTTGCCTTGCATGTGATCGACCCTGGTTCACTCCACAGCATTGGAGTGATCCCTGAGTAATACAAGAGTAAGCCCTGAGCACCACTAGGTGTGCTCCCATCCTAGAAAACTACTTTCTTTTCAAATGAATGAACTTTCCATCCTTCCTTTAGAAAAATCGATTTATCATTAGCTGACCACATCGATTTATCATTAGCTGACCACATTATACCATTTAGCACTACAGCTGAACACCCCCGTACATATATAGGATTCATAGAGTACCCATTACTGGATTTTTGGTACCATCCTATGCAATTGTATAGATCCTTGTTATGGCACCAAATCAAATCATTTTTCTCAATATCTTACTTTTTGTGGGGAAGTTTTAGTCAAAAATAAGAAAAAAGATAATAAAAATAATGTGCAGTGATAACAAAAATGACAAAAATTAATAATAACACTATAGGTAGGAATATTAAGAATTTTCTTCTGAAATGCAAATATTTAACATATTGAACAAAATATTTTAAATATGCAAAACATTCACTTATGCTAAACATAAGTGGATGTTTAAGATAGTTTATGCAATGATTGTCAAAAGCGAAGTCTTTCACGCTTATTTTGTTTTACTTTTGGGATCTCCTCAGAAGTTTTCAGGATTCCAGGGATGAACCATGTCGTACGAGAAACCATGAGCTGCTGGGAATAGAACTCAGGACTTCACCCACTCGGCTTATGCTTCTCCCCTTTAAGCGAGCTCTTGGCCCCATCTATACTTTAGGGGAATACATAAGTATAATTATTTGGCAATAGTGTTCTGTGGGTTCACAATTTTGATTTTGTGACAGCAACTTCACAGAAGAGAATAGTCTATAAAGAACACATATTTATTAGACTGCTTATTACAATATCTTAAAATATCAGAGACTGGAATACACTAAATATCCATTCAGAAAGAAATCAGTGGTTAACTGCAGTTTTATCAAAGAGTGAAAAGTCTTCTCCAAGTCAACATGATGCAAACCATGTTGAAGAATGTGAACTGTTTCTTTGGGAAGGGGGACTGCAGAACACCTGGGAGTGCTTGGCGGTCACTCCTGGTGATGCTGGAGCAGGGAGACAGATGCAGAGCCAGAGATAACACCAAGATCATCTGCTACATGGAAGGCAAATGCCTTAACTCCCCTACCACCTTAATTCCAGTCCCACAAATGACTTTTTAATAGTAAAGTAGAATACAATGGTGTTACAAGTAAAAATATCGAAAACTTCCCAATACACAGAAAAATCAAAATCACCAGAGCCCATATTAAAAGTATAAACATGCACTTATTTAGTAGCATCTCTCTCTGCTTCTGGGACCCTGATCTCAATAATGTCCTGGTGAGACCTCTCATCCCACCCTGTACCTATTCTATTCTGCATTCTTGTACACAAGCTGCTCCTGTCCACTTTTAGATGATCCATAAGCATTGCTTTTTCAAGACCCAGTTTAACTTTCACCTCCTTTACAAAGTTCTCTATTACCCTGGAAGGAGGTATTTTGGAATTCGTATTCCTCACTGTCATTTCCTTGATGGTTTTATTTGCTTCGTTTTCCTGGATGGAGTTCGAAATCCTTGAACAGAGTCATTTTTAGCATAGTCCATGAGTAATAAAAAATGATTTTGAATGAATTAATCAATGGCTATAACTCTCCAGAGCAGAAGCTACTGCTTATTTAGTATCTAAAATCCTTCCACAGAGTAGGCAAACAAGAGTGTGTCAGTAATTATTCACTGAACCAATGGATCAAGGGGTGTGTGTGTGTGTGTGTGTGTGTGTGTGTGTGTGTGTGTGTACATTTACCCATGCCTACTGGCTCTAATACCAGGCTACATTTTTCTTTCTGGTCCCCTTTCCAACTTTTCTTTCTTGAGCGATCAGATAACGTTCATTTCGAAAGGGAGTGCCAACAATAAAGAGAACTTACCCAAGTCGTATTGGCCAGAAATGTAGCCACAAGTCTGCCGAACTTCCTCGCTGCCCCAACCCAAGGGATAGAGGGCACAGCCAGCACCAATCAACAATCCTGCAAAAAGATAAGACAAGAGGGCTTTAGCAGGACCTTTCTGCATTCCCAGATAAAGGCAGCTGGCGGAGAAAAATCAATACTAGCAATATAACAAAAGAGCATGGTGTCTGCTTTTTGGAAAACACCAGCCACAGCTCTCTTAAGCAAGCGAAGGTCGGTCTGAGTCCAAGCATAATTTCAAGTCTTCTCAAAAGTGAAGGGGAACTTGACAGCTCAGTTTGGTTCCAACTTTGCCGTTCAGAGCATTAAAACCTGGCCTTGCAAATCCTGTTTAGGAAACACATTCCAGAAGCCCTTTTATCACACTTGTAAGAAGCCAACCAATTCTCCCATCAATCCATGTAAACAAGGAGGTATGTAATTCAAGAGCAAGTGAAAGCGCCTAATAGGTTATGCGTCATCATTCATTAGGTTTCTTTTCCAACTTAAGAAGCAAAATAGAATGTTTCAGCACCATCAAGTTTGATCAGGGGCAGAGAGAACAAAGATTTTCATGAACCACTTAGGCATACCAACTGAGTCTGCATCTGAACCTGTGAACCATATTATCTGCCTGCTCTGGTGTGAAGTTAAGAATCAAAGCTCATCTGTCTAGTAGTCTCGGAAATACTCTAGGAGACAGACACATACTGAAAGCTAAGTTCTTCTCGAAGCAGAGTCTTCAAGGTTTGTAATTAAACTGAAACAAAGGGGCAGTTTTATTTTAATATTAATTAAGTTACACAGCCTACTTTGAGCTGACAGCTTTCCATCAGAAGTCTTTAGTTTTGCTCTGAGGCCTAACATGGATTTGTAAGAAGGTGAATGAGCCTTAACACCCACTCTTTGAATCTTTGGCCTAATCTTACAGTAACAGCTTGTCATGCCAATCATCAAGCCATATCATCATCACCCATAACTCCCACACATGCCAGGACAGCAGGGCACTACCCATACAGCCTGATTGGCTACAATAGCAGCACTGTCTGAGGTAATGTGAATTATAAGTTGCTAAATGAGGGAGCCCTTTAGATGAAAAAAAACCCCCATTAATATGGTAATATGGAATGCAGGATTGCAGGGCTCCAAATGCATAGAGGAGAGGGTCAGAAATTCTCTTTATCCCTGTCCCTAGTCCTCCCAACGGCCCTATGGGTCACAGGCATGGCTGCTGCGCATACCAATAGTTGGTTTCCCTGCCACCTTCAAATGGGTCCTGCACCTGCTTCCCTCCCTCAGTCTCTGAACTGGGCTTATAGGGAGACATCTCCCAGGGATGGACAGAGAAACACTTCCTATCTTGGGAGTCCCTCCTTAAAAATCTGATCCTTCCTGCAAAAGAAAAAGGATCCTTGAATGCAAGACCCCTTAATTCTATTGAAGGAAAACCAGCAAAGAATTACAGAAGCAGCTAATGATGGGTTCCATAATGCCCCAGCTGTAATTGTATAAATATGGAGTGTGTTCAGCTGAAGAATAATGCAGCAAGCACTAATGTGAGATTTTGCTGATGAAGCAAATGCCCTAGTAACTGGTTTCTTCAGGCATTTTTTTCCCTTGGGATAGAATTTATAGCATTCTGGAGACAACTCAAAACAAGTTTTATCCACTGTCAGGTAAAGTGATAATGAATGAGGATGCTAAAGTTCACATAACTTGAATTCCATGAATGCTTAAAAAATAAGATGGTATCATTTTCATGACATGCTGTTCTTCAAGTAAAAAGCAGTATTTTTTTTTTGGAATCTGGTGAGTAACTTTTTAAGGATGAAAAATGCAGAAAGACAGTAGACAGGAAATGTTGACATGTAAGAAAAAAATTAAAACAGTAACATTTAAACCATAAGCTTTCCCTTTGTGTGATCTCAAGCAAATGAATAACAGTCTCAGTTACAAACTTGAGCAGGATGACTGACAAATACGAGTCATATACTCACAAAAGCCACCCACTTTGCTCTGGTACCCAAAGCGCTTCAAAGATGAAAGATAAATAGCTTATACTGTCTATGGAAGAACAAGCAGATCTGTGGTTCTCCAAGGGACAAAGCACAGAGTGGTCAGGGTTCTTTGGCCAAATATTGGGCTGTGTTTGTGACATTCTAAAACGAAGATTCAACCATGCAAATTATAAACAAGTTCAGGCACAGTGAGTGTGATATGCATATGATTTTTTAAAATTCCATGAGATTATGCTCACATTGACAAAAATTGTTCATTTGAGGGGAACTAACATGATTTTTTATATTACCATGTACGTACTCGTTGTTTGGTTCTCTGTTAATATTTGCTAATAGCAAAGAGGCTACAGACTCTGGAGGCTTGTGAAATATTTCTGGAGAAAATACCTGTTGCAAAGTAATCACGCTAATGAGCTGTCACAGTCAGTCGATTCTGTAGGTAAACATTAGTGTTCTTCTTACTGCCTTGCAAAGTTTGGTTGTTAAGGAGAAAGGAAGCCACAGGCTGAATTTAGCCCAACAGACAAAAAAGTTTTATTAGCCAGTGGGTACAACAAAGTGGGTGCATCAATCTGTAAGTTCAGTGACACCCCTTTCCCCAATTCCATCAGCATCATTCCAATAATACCTTCAATGTACCATGTAAATAATCATATGACAGGATGAGTGACCAAACCCATCACTTTACAGTATCTTCCATTTTGTGGAATAGTAATCACGCACAGCAAGAGTTCTCGATCTGCCTATAAAGTAGCCATGGCTACATGTAGCTATTTCAATAAAATTCGCATAAATTAAAATTATTTTTTTCAGTTGCACTACACAAGTTAAGTGTCTAAGAGCCACACAGCACCACTGGCTACTCTACTGGGCTGTGCAAATACAGAGCATTTTCGTAATCGCAGAAGGTGTTACTGGAGATGGTTTGTCTGAATCTAATATTATTTATGCCCCGAGCAGAGCCCCAGCAGCCAAAGACCTCCAGAACCAGCCACAACCATGCTGAGACCACTCTCCACATGCATGAAGGTACTGGCAGAGGAACAAAGGCATGCGGGTCCCGGGGCTAAGATCTCCAAGCCTGCTCGGATTGGGGCTGAGCATCCTCCACCCAGATCCTCCATCTTCCAGTAGGCAGGGGTCACACCCACCAACTGCCCCCCGGCACAGTGTAATCCCATCAATGGCCAAGACCCAGAGACTATAAAACCCAGCTCCTGAAAGCTTATCATCTCATTCTTACTTTGGACAATCTGGCAGGCTACCGAATGTAACCTGCACACATGACAGAGTCTGGCAAACTCCCCATGGTGTACCCAATATGCCAAATACCAGTAACAATGATGGGTCTCATTCTTCTAACCCTGAAAGAGTCTTGAATATGACACTTTTTAAAATCTCAGGGTGAGGGAGAAGGAGGCGTTACTGGTGCTAGCTCAAGGCAATCGACGAACAACAGGATGATCGTGATGGTGATCGTGAATATTACTTCAAAAGGATCCTGGGCTAGTCAGATACCTAGCTGCTATGCTTGATATTGCAAGCTTGTTAATAATCAAAATCTCTACTGTCCATTTACACTCTTTTCTAGAGTGGGACAAGAGATCAGGACATGTTTTAAATTTTATTTCTTGGTGCTAGGGATAAAATTCAGGCTGTCTCACACATGCGAGTAAGCTTCCTCCCACAGGGCTACAGCCCTGGCCTCAGAGAGTTATTTTGGTAACTTGTCTGCTAGAAGGCATTATTGTTCACATTCTATTAATGAGAAACTCTTGGATGGGAGTTAGAAGGTAAAGGAAGGGGAATAAGTCATCTTCTTCATTAGCAGATGCAGCCTGTGCTGGAGGCAGTGGGAACTGTCTTGCCATAAACAGGAGACATGGAATTTGGGGAATTACTTCAAGACACCCTCTGCAGCATTGCTGGAGGCCAGATCATCCACTGTTGCTTCTTTCAATCTGAGAACTTTCTCATTTTTCTCAATTGTCCCCAAACTAGAACCCTAGAGGTTCTAGTTTTTGATGACTGCAGCCTGAAGCTCAAACTGCTTGAGCGACTAAATTAAGAGTTGATAAATCCCGAAGACATCTGGTGTTCTATGTGCCAATCTTACACACAGTCCCCAAGGACCCAGAGCTAGCTGGCATCCTGTTATTGACTTAATCTGTCTCTGACCGGTGGTTTATTTCATTGGCATAAACCAGAGTCTACTAGGGTAGATGCTAAGCTTTCTATTCCGCTACTTCCATATTATCTGTTTTTTTCTGTTAAATTTTATTGCTAACACAATCGATGATATTTATTAAACCTTGGAGGCAAGTATACATAGTGCTATGTTTGCAGCTTTTACATCCACTGCCTCTCTGGTCTCTGAGAGGGAACTTAGCCAACATACCCTCTCCTGGAAGATGGATTTCTGAAGAGGACACTTAGAATGTTAACTAACCATTCTGAGGGTGTTGGTTGGGGTCACCTAGACTTCTGTTGTCTATAGTGAAGAATATATGTTGTAATTTATAATATGAGCTAAATATAGTAACTTTTTTAATGGAAGGTAGCTGCTATTGTTCAGTTTTAGCTGTTCTAAGCCTCAGAACATAGTGTGGAAATCAACGTTTGATGGAAAAATAGTTTCAAATTCCCTGAATTAGACAGCCATTTAGTTGTTATGCTATGCTGAAGTGACACTCAGAAAATTCTGAAAGTTGGAGTTGCCCAGATGGTGTTGTTGTGACCTGACTTTTCCTAGAAGTTTTAGTAATATATTTTGATCCTGGGAGGTACATGACCCAACCAGAACCTCTGACTCACAAACTTCTGTACTGTATACATGTATTTTTTTCTGTCACATATAAACTTTGTGATTACCCCATTGGCTTACTTATTTGATGTTTTAACCAAATTCCTATGTCACTACTATACAAAATAATGTTTTTTTAAAAGTCACATGATCACACTATTGGAAATTCTATGCAGAGAGCAGTCGGAGTGAGAAAAAGAATCTGGGAAGTGAGGAAACAAGCCGAGGAGATGGGGTGCAAGATCATTTGCAGCTGT